AACAGATTTTAGCAAAAGCAAGGTACCTTTACTTTTTATGCATCAAGATTCTATTAGGGGTGGCTTTTATCATGCTTTTGTGCACTTCCCTTTATTTATGGGCATCTGTTTTACACATCATTTCAAAATAATTAATGTTCATGCAAACCATCGCAATTTTCATGGCAATTTGTCACTATTAAATGAATTGTCGAAAATCTCACACACTAGTCGAACCTTTATAAAACAGGCCTTTAGGCTGTGACTGAGTGGTAAAACATGATCTCTTTTACATTTCTGGAATTTGTATCTTTGATTACTTTTAAATAAATTCTTTCAAGCCTTTGATACAAGCCTTAACAAAAATATGCATCTGCCACGTAGAATTTTAAAACTAACTTTCCGCCCTCATTGTTTTAAGTCTCCAGTTTTGGAGTAAAGCAATTGTTACTTGAGATCGTTGACTGACTTTGAAAGGCTGATTTAATTAGTTAATTAATTTTTTCTTCTCATCATATAGGATCAAGAATCAACCTTGACTATGACTTTAAATAATGAATTTACCTAGCCCCATATTATGGTTGTTGTTATTAAATTATTATTATTATTATTATTATTATTATTACTATTATTATTATTATTATTTTTATTATTATTTATTGTTGTTGTAATTATTATTATTATTATCTTTATATTTAGTTAGTTTTAATGTATTATCATTTTCATTTCAGAATAAAGATAGGGGAAACAAGTATAAGTGTGATGTTGGAGTCCAAACAGCACCTGCAGTGGACCAGTTTACAATACCTCCAGGTACCTGTTCATGACTGTACATGCAGTGATTTTGTTGCAAATAGTTAAACTGTATGGTGAGTCGCGTTTTCAGACCGACCTCTACAATCTATACCCATTTTCAGACCTGGCCTTTAGGCAGAAATTATATTATCATTACTTATACTAGAGCGCAAACAAAACAATAATTTCTTCAAATCCATTTCGAATTTGCATATTTCTCTTTCTTTCTTACTCATTTGGAACTGAAACAATAAATACATTCGTACACTCCTGTAGTTCTCTCGAAAACCATACCCTATTCCAGACCAAAATGGGCAAAATGTATACCCGTTTTCAGACCAAAACGGCTCAAAAACCCTAACCGATGAGGCAGCACATACCTATATAGCTTATATAAAGCAGTCCCCCCCCACCCCCTCCCCCAGGACATGTCACAAAAAGCTTTAACCAATCAACTGATAAAACGACCTGTAGATATGACTACAAGTATTACATTTAAAAGTACAAAAGTACAAAAATTAAATATTTATGTGCTAATTCGGAAATAAGTGAAGCCTACTGTGTGAAATTAGAGTGGTTTTCGTTTGAGTGTCGTAAAACCAAAACCAAAGTAATTACTCTGGCCAATCACATAGGACACAGACAATACATTGAACCAATCAAAACTCGAAGTAATTACATGTGGCTGACGCAAAGCGCGGGAAAATGCATGCGAGCGCGTCACAATTGGCTTTGGTTTTACTTCTGATTGGATGAAAAGGTGGCGCGAATCTTTTAAGCCAATCGCATCGTGTAGAAAGTGCAAAACCAATTACTTTTCGACACTCAAATGAAAAC